CAATTCTTTATACATTTCAAATAGTATCTACCTGAGCAATATATTTCTAAATTAGAACCAGTATGTGTATACTTATGCAAGTTTCAGTGAGTGAGCTTATGTATAATACAGTTATTGATAATCCCTTTTCAATTATCTAATTTCCTTACAACTTAGGAAGGATCCATTTAACATTTTAAATATGTCTGAAAAATATATCCCATATTTTCTTAATATTTCAGGTTCAACATATAATTTTTCAATAACTACATTTAAAAGTTATTTATTCTGAGCCTTGGCATTGCTAAATAAGATGGCTTCATTTTATATTAGTAATGAATTGGCAAAAAAATTGCTTAATTAACATTGGTTAATTGAGTCATTGTGGAAATAAACATTTGTGTGCACCTGAAAAAGAATTACATGAGAAAACCAGGAAAATAAATAAGTTATTTAATAGCATCAAAAAGTGAACAACTTTTTTAAAAAAACATTCTCCTTAGCAGAGCTACTTCTTGTGTTGTACAGAAGAAGACACACAAACACTTCATCACTGTCACTGCACAGTTCACAAAATAACCTATTATCCCGGGAGCACTCTCCATGTCACCGGGAGCGGTAACAACAAGGCTGGCGATGTGTGACCTTTCACCGTGGTTCCTGGCACCCATGTGTGGAGAGTAAGACAAGCAATTGCTGAAACACCTTTGCAGCCTAGTGAAGTCCTGCTGCTGTCTGCTCGCCTCACTCAGCGTGGCTGCTGTCCCTCTGCTGCCGAGGCAATGGCTCTGAGAAATGAGCTGTTTGCCACGAATGTTAAGGGTTTCATGTAATGGAAGTTTATTCACATCCACTGTCAGTAATTTTGAATATAACATTTGCTCTGTGACTCTTCATTTCTTACAAATTTAATAGATGCAAACAGTAAATCTCCATTATCACCTGAGGTGTTTCTTCGCTTATAATGAAAGTTTACTGAACTGCAGTGCATGATAAAGTTGTATTTGAAATCTTTCCCCACCTCAAAATTCTTCTCTAACATGCAAATTACTTGGTGAACAAGAAAAAAATAGTTTTCTTGAATTTCTTTCCAGTTTTGTATTAATAGTCACTCATACAGCTAATAAGATAATTTTCTCTAGTACTGTGTAGTTGGCCATATTTTACATTGATTTTTACATTGGTTTTATCTAAGAAGCAGTGACAAATTTTCCTACTGATCCAAAAATGCCATCAATATTTCAGTTACATTATTATTCTTTTCCAATCATTTCCTTATGTCTTGGAGGTACAATATGTACTTGACATCTCTCTCTATTAGCATATTCTTTTGGAAAATATTTGCCTAATTTATGTTTTTACTCTGTTTTGGCAGAATAAATATTGGGATAAAATCAATATTAAATATCTAACTGAACATTGGGTTTGGCACTTTAGCCTTATGGTTAACATTTTTAAATAAGTGCTAAATCTCCGTGTGTATGTGTAGAATCACTGTACACAGGACAGCTACAAATACAGATCGATAAAATGTGCTTTACTGATGACTCGCATACCAGGAATAAAATTCGTGATGGCAGCACACTTTTCCAAAATAACGGACAACTCTCAGTAAAGTGCCGAACAAAGCACTGTGTACTTTCTCCTTAATTTACATGGTAGATGCATTTGCGGAAAGTCAATGTGTATCACGATGGCATAAAAGCATCGTACTTAGCGGTTAACTCAGGGTAGGCTCTTCATTTTCGCTGAAACACCCAAAAGGAATCTGGGACACAGCATGGTTTTCGAGGGTATGGGAAGGTGTATTCCAGATGTCGAAGGATTCTAGATGTGGTAGGATGACTAGAACCCCAGTCCTTG